GCAGTGGCTGATCTCATTTGGGGATGCTGATGCTGTGAGCCCTTCCACTGCAGACTCAGGTTGTATATATGTGTAACTAAACCATATATCATAAAGACACGCTGGGTAAGCGCCTGGAACCCCTGGAATCCTGCATTGCTCAGAGATTTGGGTGGCGTGCAACAATAGGTAAGCAAAACATTTTAAACATACGGTACTTCTGCAGTACCTTTTAAAGAGATGGTGTAAGTCCAGTCTATTAGCTCCCTTGTGGCAACATGGGAGGGCATAAAAATATACATTTTTAATCCATGCACATTGATGACCACCAGACGTCAGTGATCTCCACCAGATCCTCAGGTCTGTGGGCAGTGGTGGCAATTTCAAGGACATGGGAGTGGGCCTCATTTGCTGGCATTTTAAATTTTTCTTCCTCCCCCACCTCCCCCTATCCTGTCCTGGGCTGAGCCATTACTGGATGTGGCAGGCATACCACTGAGCAGGGGCAGCATATGTCCAGCCCCATAGGACTGATATGTGAGCACTCTGTAAATACTGAAAACTAAAAAGGAACCAACCTGTAATACTAAGCATGCAGGGACATAAATGTGAAAATGTAATATCAAGGGAGGACTATGATTTACAGTTGTCTTATTACTACGACCGAGAGAATATAAAAATCCTAACCCATTCAGAGGCAACATGAAAGCATATATTTCATCAGTTTAAGATGAGATAAAAAATCTAATTAAATGCAGAAGAAAGCTTTCCTGATATTATTAATGAGGTGCTAGTAACTTTCATTATTATTAACCATTTATGTAGTTCTGAGCCAGGTAATTTATATTTGTTATCTCATTCAGCATGGAGATATGACAGAATTACTCCTGTTTATTATATACATGGTTGGAATTGAGGCCCAACAATATATCTCATTAGTACTTGGCTTATCCACAAACTGCAAGCTCCAATACTTTATGCCTTCCTTACCTTGGTGACACTGGTATTACGAATCACACATCACCTAAATGGGCTATTCTCATAATTACTTTGACATATGGCCATTGCAGGGGGAGGCAAGCAGACCCTGAGGATTTCCAGCCCTGAGATGTATGAGCCTGGACAGTGTTCTCCATGGGCATCTGGTAACAGGCCATCAGCATGCACAGAATGCAACCCTTGAGGTGCTAGAAGACACCCCAAACCGTGCCAAATGGGAGTGATGGTAAGCCATACTGAATAGCTATTAAACATATGAAATTGCCAGTACGGAATGAATTTAGACTTAGCACAACAATCATCTATGGAGGCAAGTAGGGTTGCCAGGTCAGAAGCATCCCAGACCTTGTGGTTTCAGGGCCCAAACCTGAGATCAGGAGGTTCCTGATTTTAGGTTGTACAACCCAGTTTTTCTTACATATGCTCCCCCCCACTTCAATCACTCCACTCTTTTCCATATCCAAAGTGATGTCTTATCCCCATTCCTAGGGTTCCCAACTGAATTAATTTTTGTGGGAGGAATAGGGGGAGCTGTCCTAGAGGCAAAAGGGGGGAAATGGTGGGATGCAATTGGGAACCAATCCAGGGTCTTCTTTCCATCTGCTTCCAAGGCAAACCCGACCTCATCTGGTTCCCCCCTTGGGACCACAAGGGTAATCTAGTCGAACCTCCGCAATGCAGGAATCTTTTGCCCAGCATGAGGCTCATGCTCTAGCAACTCAGCAGGCGCCCTGATCCAGTGCTGAAAATAAACGCCTCCTCCAGTTCAGGCTCCACCCCTGTCTCTCAGCATTTCATATGCTCTGCCTGCTTCTGAAGCACCACACCTTGTTCCAGGCATGCATACATCTGCGTAAACTCCTCCTCCTCTTGAGCCCAGCCTAGTTTTCTTTCTTTCTCGGTGTTCCCTCCCACCACAGCCCTTAAGGAGAGGTAAAACACCTGGAGAATCTATGCAATAATTTGCAGCTGGCTCCTGCTAGGTTGAAGCTTGCAAAATGCACACAGAGCAGCCTTTTTGATTTAAAAAGTGTTTTTAAATATGCTTTCTCCTACCTTGAAATTTGAGCCCTTTACCTACTTGCTGGAGGGGACCAGGCAAACCTGGATATCCCAGGTCAGACCTGGAGATCTGATAACTCTAAAGGCAACATAGTTGTACAAGTACTGGTAAATGTGGATACAAAATCTTACTTGTAGTTCTTTCCATGCTCACCCAAAAAACATTTCAATGCCTGACTTGGATTTAAACATAACCTCAATAGTAGTAGTATGGTGAGCTTTCCCAGACAACATAATATTCACAAATTAACAGAACACTTTCCATGTTTTTCAGTATATTGAAAGAATATTACTACAAAGGAAAGAATGGGGCTCCACCTAAAAAAGTGAACTCTTGACAGAGGTTTTTGTGTGTTTGTTTTCTGAAAGAAATGTGATGAAGACTAATGGGTATCATTCCCTGGGCTAGATGCAAAGCAGCAAATGAAAACAAACGTCCACCATCTGAACTTGAGGCCCTCATTATTGATTCTAAAGAATTTCATTCTTCACACTGATTTTGAAAAAAAACATTTTCAAAAGGCTTTATCTACTGACTCTTTAAAAGAGATTGGTTTGTTTGCATCAGAAAATGTTATTTAAGAGGGGATAGGTGGTGGTGAAAGGGAACTAAATTCAGGCTGAAGGAACACTGATCATTCAAAGACTGAAACAGCTTCTCAGAATAATTATGGCCAATATAGTGATTTGCTGCTATGTGTTTTTAAAGGATTGCATGATTTTATGCATTTCTGTTTGCTTTGCAAATTGCCCTGTGGCTTCTACAAAGGGTGGTAAATAAATAATCTAAATGAAATAAATAATCATATAGAGCCTTATGAGTGCAGAAGTTCTGAAGAGGATCAGAAAAAGTGAGTAAGAGATGAGGATGAGACGGAGAGACAAGAGTTTTTGTGAAAAGATGAACTATTTTAATACAATCTGATTTCATTCTTACAAAAGGAAAACAATGGCTTTAAAACCAATACAACATACAGTTTCTTCCCCAGTTTTCTGACAGCTCACTAGCTTCTAAATTTTAGTTCCCTCATGAACCCTGCTCTGCAATCCTCAGGTGAGTGCACCTGATCCCATATTTCTTCCATGGGATCTCCTTCTCCATCCAGATTCTATGCCCTGGTTCTGTTCACCAGCCCGTTTGACTTCCTGCTTTACTCCAGGAAAGGGTAACCTGTGGCCCTCCAGATGTTGTTAGACCACTGGACCAACATGACCATTGATCATGCTGGTTAAGACTATGTGAGCTGGACTCCAACAACATCTGTAGGACCACTGGTTACCCATCCCTGTTCTGTCTCAGTGTGAACTATTTGGGAGTAGCAGTCAAAAAGACTTGTGAATCACATCTGTACAAAGGAGATTCCAACTAAACATCAGGAAGAACTTTCTGGCTTGTAAGAGCTGTTTAACAATGGAATAGACTCCTTCGAAAGGTGGTGGACTCTCCTTCACTGGAGATTTTTAAGTAGAGGTTGGATGGCCACTGTCATGGATGCTTTTGTTGAGATTCCTTCATTGCAGGGGGTTGGACTGGATAACCCTTGGACTTGGGAGTCTGTTCCAGCTTTATGATTCTATGTTACTATTATCTCCCTTTCAATAAAGCAAGTTTCTGAACCACAGGGCTTGTACACTATACTTTGGAATTAGACAGCAACACTTTTAAATCCAGAGCTGGAGTATATCGCCTCCCTCCTTTTGGGGGGTTATGTGTTGGAGTAACGGGAAGAACTCTAACTCAGTAAGGGAAGGGCTGTGGAGGTTTCCATGGCAGTGGGGAGGGGCTTTGGGGGTCAGATCTCTGTCTCTGAGGATGGAACTCTGGTTCTGCCGTTTGGGAGGGACTTCTGAACCATCCTGTGGCCCTTGGGACACTCTTCTGGGGACCAGGGTACTGCAGCCTTAGTTTTTCATGAGGGTTGTATTACAAATAGTTGTTTTTTTATCTCAGACACAGAGGAAAATGGTGATTTCAAATAATGGCAGAAGTTTGAGTACAGCAAGCCGAGGGGGACAATGAGAGGAAAATAGATATTTTAAACAACATCAGAGATCTGAGTAGAGCAAGCAGAGGAGGGAACACTACACGCTCAACTGGGCAGCCCAGGAGCTCCATACACACTGCCCAGGCTTGCGCTCTGGGGAGCTCACTTCGGTGCTGTTAACACAACAATGTGACTTCACTCCACAGAAGTGCACTCCACTGTCTCTTGAAACAGACGGATGCCAACAACATACATATATTATATGCCAATAACTGCATTCCAACAATTCAGAGAAGTGAGAAATCCAATCCACGGATTAATCTGGGAGTTAAAGATCCATCACTGAAATCTGAAAAGATCAGATTTGTCAAGCAGCCCCAGGAAAGTTATTCTCAACTGCACAGCTTTCTGCCCTTAAACAATGCCACAATGTTGTACATGCCACTAGTTCCTCTCTCAAAGTTCCTTAAGAAATTCCAGTTTAGTGAGACAGAGGAATCCATGGCAGACAACTCTGATTCCCCCACCTCCTCCTGCCTAGCCACCAGCATGGTTGACTATTCCACACACTTCCCATCAAGTCACTTCTTGTAGTGAGGTGGACTTGCATCCCTGTTGCCATAGCAATGGTTTGAGCATGCCTCTTCCTCATGGCAGACAACTGACATTTCCCCAACACCTCCGGCCTGGCTTCCAACATGAGTTGACTAATCTACATACCGTATTTTTCGCTCTAGAAGATGCACCCGACCATAAGACGCACCTAGTTTTTAGAGGAAAACAAGAAAAGCCAGCAAGAGCCGCAGACACACTCACTCGCACGCTCACTCACTCACTCACACGCTCATCCTTTAAAAATAGAGCAGTTCTTGCTGGCTTTTCTGGGAGGTGGGAGAAGGGACTGACGGGCTGCCCTCCGTCCCTTCTCCCACCTCCTGAAAAGCCAGAGCAAGCTGCGCAGATATTGCTGAAGCCGGCACAGCAAGAGGGAGAGCTGCGCAGAGCCTCTTGTTCTGCTGGCGGAAGGGTTAGGGTTAGGGTTAGGCTCTCTTCCTTCCCTCCGCCCACTTCGCTGGGAAGCCAGCAGAACAAGAGGCGCTGTGCAGCTCTCCCTCTTGCTGTGCTGGCTTCAGCGATAGCTGCGCAGCCTGCATTTGCTCCATAAGACGCACACACATTTCCCCTTACTTTTTAGGAGGGAAAAAGTGCGCCTTATGGAGCAAAAAATACGGTACTTATCACCCTATCAGAAGAGACACTACCACACACACGTGAATCAATCTTAAGTGTTCTTCATATTTTGTATAAGCATAAATGAGATATCAGCTATAATTTATTTACTCCGGCACTAATTTATTGGGGAATCTTCCATGAAAAAGCCTTTAAAATGGAGGTTTAAATATATATTTTTAGATTTTTATTACTTATTAAATTGATATCCCACTCTTCATTCCAAAGGAGCCCATATATATCTTTTACATTCTTTTAAAGTTCATAGAAGCAGAAAAGTCTGTCACTCATGGAATCAAAGGATTATGTCTCCTCACAGTTATATAGTTCACAACAGCAGTAATTCATGATAATTCACCTCTTTTTCTAATTGTGATACACCTCACACAATTACATTCAAATTCATCTCATTGTTTCCATGCCAAGAGAGCTTTCAAAAATATTAAGACAAAAGAGAAAAGTTAACTTCAAAGTCTTAGCGCAAAAGGGATTTCTCAAGGAATAAAATTACAATAACAAATTAACATTATTAAAAGGAAATTTTCCACAGGGAGGGAAAAATATTGCATTAGAAATAGCATAGTATATAAACACAACCATGTTGCCCTTCAACGATTCCTCTTAACTTGCTAAAAAACAAAATCTGATGAACTCAAGGGAGAATCTTCTTCCCCTGTGGAATGTAAGCCCAGACAACCTATTCAATCCTCAATGATTAGAAACAGTCTTTTCTATATATTTTATGCTATTTTTTAACCATTCAGTATAAATTAATAAACTAACCTAGTATGGAGATGATGTGTGAAATCTGGAATATTAAGATGAGGTTCAGGGTGATGCCCTCAATAGGAGGGTTTTTTTTTGTTCTCTTAAGGCATTGCTACATGCCCCCCCAACCCCTCCTGACATGAGATACAAGGCAACAGATTCAGGACAGAAAAGAAAGGCAATCCTTCTTTAAAAATGCGTAGTTAACCAAAATAATTGGCTGCCACAAAATGTAGTGATGCACACTGCCTTAGATGACTTTAAAAGGGGATTAAACCAAGTAATACAGGATAGAGTCTGAAGGGGGGCAGAGGAGGCAGGAGGATGATCCAGGGGTAGGGGCCACTGATTTGTGGGGTTCTGTGCCACCTGTGAGGCAGGGGAAAGAGTTTGGGTGGTCAGAGATGGAAGGAGAGGAGGTGGGGGAAAGTACTGTAGCAGGAAGGCACAGAGGTGGAAGAAATGGTTCCAGAGAGTCAGGCGCTTGGAATCTCTTCCTTCTGTCCCCCCCCCCCCACTGTGTCCAAGGACAAGGAGGGGCTTAAAGCAGCAGCAGCAGCAGCAGCTGGAGATGCTGTGCAAAACTCGCCAGTTGCTTGCATGCACCATGTCAGGAGGTGTGGCGCACTGTTGCTCCAACTGAGTCAGAGAACAAATCTGAAGAAGGAGCTGCATAGCTAGCTATTTATCAGGAGTGGGGCATGTGATTCTTACACCTTAGGAACTGATGCAATTGAGTGTTTTGCCAATAAAGAATTAAACTTCCAATTGTGGGTCCTCATTGAGGGGGCTAGGTGTGTTTGGGACATCTACGCATGGCTATTAGGCATTATAGGTAAACAGGTGCTCTCTGTTCAGAGGCAGAAAACCTCTGAATACAAGGTGCTGGTAAGCAAACAACTGCAGGCTGCTGTTGCCTTCATGTTCCACATGCTGGCTTCCTGACTGGCCATGGTTGGCTTTGGAAAGAGGAAGCATGACTAGATGGATCTTGGTCTAATTTAGGAGGGCTCATCTGACGTTGTTAGGGTTTCCCTATTAATCTAAATCGCTTTGACATATTCGTGATCTTTTTGTCAAGTGTTGTTGGACTACAATGGTGGAAATTCTGCACTCAAAGTTCTGCACCTAAAGTAAGTCTAGTACAGTAGCCTCATGTGTCCAAAGGGAGTGCAGATGGAAATCTGAACTGATAGCTGCTAAGTTAAAGCTGTTGCCTTATATCTCACACCAGGGGATATATTGTTTGATCTTCATCATCCTAAGCATTTGGCAATTAGCATCATTTCCTTTTTAATATATAACCGCTTGTCTTATGAGGTTTCTTAAACAGATGCTGAAGTCCTATTATTAGTATTATTATCATCGGATGAATATTATCAGATTAATTTCACAATACAATATATTGTAAATCCCTTCTTTTATTGTAGTATACTGCAGAAGGCAATTGATTTCTTTTTTTAATATAATGGAATAAAATCTACTCAGTGCACAGAAGCTGTCTAAGCTGTTGATCTTTTTTTAAAAAAAGCTTTCACGGAAGAAAGGATAAGATGACCTTCAAGGATCTATAGTGTCTGATTGTCTGCAGGAGTAAGCTAATCACAAGATGAAGCTCTTGAATCTAAGCCAGACTTTGAGATGAAACCATGTAGCTTTCAGCATGAAAGGAAGGAATTTTCATCAAATAATTGGAAATACATCCAAAGTGGGAATTTACTAATCACAGCCCTCTGTGAGCTAGGATGAATATAAATTTGAGAATGTATGGAGCTAAAATATTCACTAGAGGAGAAATGGAAATGAGAATGTGTTTTTGTAATTTCCCATACCTTCGTTTTAAAATGCCTCTTTTTAGATTAAGTGTGATTTTAAAGCTTATTTAGAAAATAAGATAATTTAGTATGTGATTTGTGGACTCAAAATTAGTTGTGACCAGACCCCTCCCCCCAAGCAATGATCAAACCTTTCAGATTTCTTTAGTTTCATACGGAGAAGTCAGAAACTGTGAGGATATTTCCAACACTTACATATTCAGGGCAAACTATTTTCCCATTGAGTTGATCTTGGCATAAATCCAGTGCAGCTGCAGCTGTTTCATCTCCTCAAAGGATACTGTTTAGCAGCAATCAAATATTGCCACAGTCAACTAAGGGCCTGCAACCAACATAATGTGCCATATATTGCCCTAAGAGGTACCCAGCCGCTTCTAAACCTTCGTTTTATGATGGACTCATGCAGTCTTGTGAGATGAAAACATTTAATTCCACTGAATTGTGTCACAAAAGCTGGCTCCATTAAATAACTGTCCATCTTGCTGCACTCAGGGGAGGGAAGTGTTCCTTTTCTCACAAAGATAAAGAGAATATCAATGGGACTTATCTCTTCAAAGTACCGAAAAGCTCAAAGCAATTGCCTAAAGTTATTCACTGCTTTGAATCCAAAGATCCACATGCAAAAGGAGAAGATACTTCCCACTTGAACTTGGGGAGGAATCAGTGATTTCCATTTCTCCCCCCACCCCATCCCAGTTCAGCCCCCTATACCACATCATGGCAGACTTTAGGGGTGGGCAGATTTCAGACTGGGTTGGTAAAGGCTGGGTTGGTGCATCCTGCCCCCCGACCTGCCAGCACCTGCGCCAGGCATAATTGAGACATGCCCTGACACTGCCTACAAGGGCTTGGCCTCCTGACACAGTTTCTTCCCTGGATGTTTGCAGATAACAAACTGAATACCTAAAAACAAGAATGAACTAGTCATCATGGAACCTGTAAGGAACGACTCATTTACTCCCTGTGCTCTGGAACATAGGACAACATCCAGAAGGACTGCAGACCCCTGAGGAAAAGCCCTTTCACCTTGGAACAGATATTTTGCACTCTAGCTTCATTTCACTCTTTAATTCAAGTGTGTGTATAGCGGGATGTTGTTGTTGTTGATTAAATTGGTATGCTGCCCTATACCCGTAGATCTCAGGGCAGTTACAACATAAAATCACAATAAAAAAACCCACAAAATACATAATAAAAACACAAACAAATACAACCTAATGATCCTCCCTTCCACATTTTAAAAGGGCATCAGATGTCAACCAGCCCAAGCCCTGGTTAAAGAGGAACATTTGCCTGGTGCTTAAAGGTGTATAATGAAGGCACCGGTTGAGCCTTCCTGGGGAGAGCATTCCGTAAACAGGGGGCCACTACAAAAAAAGCCCATTCTCATGTTGCCACCCTCTGGACCTCTTTTGGAGAAGGCATACAAAGAAGGGCCTCAGAAGATGATCTCAGAGTCCAGGCTGGTTTATATGGGGAGAGGCAGTCCTTTGGGGTATTGTCGTCCTGAGCTGTTTAAGGCTTTATACGTCAAAACCAGCACTATAAACTGGGCCCAGAAACTAATTGACAGCCAGTGCTGTCTGACCAGGATCGGTGTAATATGCTCAAACCGTCCTGCCATGAGCAACCTGGCCGCTGAATTCTGCACTAGCGGGATGTTCTCTCTCTCTAGGTGCTGCTTCAAATAAAGTGTGATTTTCAGTTTGGCACCAAATGAAATCCCACTGTCGAACAGCTCTTACTGTCAGGAAGTTCTTCCTAATGTTTAGGTGGAATCTTCTTTCTTGTAGTTTGGATCCATTGCTCCATGTCCGCTTCTCTGGAGCAGCAGAAAACAACCTTTCTCCCTCCTCTATGTGACATCCTTTTATATATTTGAACATGGCTATCATATCACCCATTAACCTCCTCTTCTCCCTGTGGCCCCGTTTACGGAATGCTCTCCTCAGGAAGGCTCAACTGGTGCCTTCATTATACACTTCTCTAGATAATTTAAATTATCTAGATCTGACAAGATTTTTTTTTTCCTACTGGAAAGTTCCCCACTTGGCTCAAAATAGTCTTTCAGAAGTGAGCAGTTGGTAGATGTGGATAGGAGATATATACTAGCTAGGGTGAGGTTTTAGTTTTCATTCTTAGCAAGGTTCAAAGACTGGCTCTTGGATTAAAAAAAATGTACCTCAAACTGTTACACACCCCAGAAATATTTGCTGAAATTAAACCAAGCTGAGGAAGAAGCACATGGCCAAGACAAAATACTCTGCACAGCTAGGACAGCAAAGTATCATC